CACTGATAAATAATGGTCATACCACTATACATTGTACATGTACATGACAGTACAAGTACCAAGTTGCTGAAGAAAAACTCTGATACCACAGTGCACTAGTACCAGTTATTAGAGATGATTTACATGTACATGTACGTCTGGATACAACGTACAACATGTGCTGTATATGTATGATGATTAACAAAAAATGTACATCATGGGGCGTGTACATGTACATACCGGTACCTGCAAGAACAGAATTACATGTACATGTGACATCCTAAACGTGCAGTTGAAGATGAAGATGTGTACAGTCTGTACATGTAGGTTACATGTACATTTAAGACAATGAGCCAGAGCCATTTCAGGACTCCAAGAGCGCAAACTCAAAATGACACATATGCCACACATGTACATGTGTACATGTAGCAGGTCACTAAAGAACATTTTAAGATTTGTGTGCATGAGAACAGCTCTATTAGGAGCTCCGTACACCAACTACTACAGTAAGTAACCTGCAATTCAATAAACACGCTTGAGCAGGTGACTTTGTTCGGGAATGACCTTGCCTTAATTAATGAAATACTGAATTGGTTCATTATACATGCCTGCTACATGTACCTGCCTGAGATAGCGATAAATAGATAGCAAACTGCACCTGCTCTGAAGCAAAGCTTTATGGTCTGTTCATGTACTAATAGCTACTGGTACATGTAATGATGCAGTCCAAGTGATGGCTCTGCTTACTGCCCAATCTGTCTTGGTTCAGCTGACGACTAGGATGGTCCAAAGTACAGTTTAATGGCATTTGGCATGATGTCATGAAATCCAACACATGTACATGTACTGTTTGTACATGCACTACAAGTAGCACCGGCTGACGTTAAATTAAAAACCAATCAAACCGCTCTTTCGCCTTTATGGGGGCGGGAGGGGTTCCACAATACTGCTGAAACGTGCACGTGCAGTGACCCATGAAGACACCATTTGATCAAATCTGCATAAAAATTGACAGAGCACTCCCAGTATAAGAACATGCACACCAAGTTCATGCACATGCACATTATACTGTACTGGTACATTGCAAAGTGGCCAGTCTACCTGGTACATGTACTAACATAGTGCATGCACGTGTATACATGTACATGTGCTACTAGTTTGTACAAAATAATACTACAGTTCTGACGACAGTAATGACATATGCATGCATGCATGAGGGTAGAAATTTGACTTTTGTCACATAAAGAAAGGTTATTTTTTCTAGCGTAAACACTACACGTATTTTGTAATAAAATTCAATGCTGTATGGTACATGTACACGTAAGTACATACATGTACAACACAGTGATTGTAAATGCAGTAATTACATGTACAATGTATACAATGTGCAAGGAATTTAGCCTTCATCCAAGACTCTTTTGAATGGATCTGACAGCAGGTGGTGAATTTTAATGTACTTGTTTCGGTATGCATCTAAAAGCACTTGCGAATGTGAAGGATATTCAGAAATTGCATCATCCACACAAATGGTAAAAACTACTGATGGTAGTGTCGAGTTGGCTGCTTGTGGGGTTTTCTAAGGGTTTTTCTCTGTGTGTTTGGGTGGGGCTTCCCAGCAGTAAGGGGACAATTTCTCTTGTTAGGAAAGTCAGAGCAAAACTGTGGGGAACAAACTGTGTCCCCCTGATGGTTTTGGTCCCCACACTGTCTTATATTTCAACACCTTCTTTTGTAGTCTCCGTAACTCGGTGACAAGTACAGCCTGTGATGTTTTAAAACTGACGCCATGCAATGATGGCCAGCATGTTGTCGATACATTCATGCAAACATACTGGGGGAAGAGAGGATACAAAAAATAGATATTGGATCCTATGAGTAAAAGCTAGCAAATGCTATAAAGTTCAAGCAAACAGCAAAAGCATTTACTGAGAAGTCAAACCAAATAAGAATTGAGCAAATGCTTGAATTTGTAGGAATAAAATGTTTCTTTTACTATTCAGCATCTGCTGGTATAAATATTAGCAATTGCTTTATGCTTGTGGCTTACTTCACAGCCGAATGGTTTTGCACAATAGGGCTTCTGCTATCTGACGAACAGATGCACACAGTGCAGCACTGCGCTGTACATGTACATGTATCTTGAGACCTCAGCATGGCAGATAAGCACGATGGCAGTAATTTTGATCACAAGAACCTTGAAGGAAATTGCTCTGCCACTCTCAAATCGGTACAACTGCCTGCATCTGGTTTCTTGAGATTCCCTCCTAAAGGCATTTAGCTTTTCCTTTCGAATGACATTCATGAACGCTGCCATTTTGAACATTAGTAAATGCTCCTCGTTTTCAAGCTTGCCCTGACCCAGTCTTGAAAAATGTCAAATAAATACTCCAATTCTGTAGAACTTACTCATTTTTATAAATTCATACAAAATGAAGCAACTGCTCATCCGCTCCTCACGTAACAAAAGAGGGCATGGTTTTTTTAGTACTCACCGCATAGGTGCATGTTTATAATGGAGATCAATGGCGCGTTTGACACGGAGCACGCTGAGTATGCGCAACCAATTTATTCCTTAATGTATGGTCTTTGTGTACATGCAGAACGCTTGGAAAACTTACTACCATCTGTCTTTCTTTTGCTGCTTGGGGTGCACTTCAACTCGGGGTGAATTTTCAAGCGCAAGCTTAAAGAGTAAAATGTAACTACTTATACTTTTGAGCAATTTCACTAAAGTAAAAGTGTTTGCTTCATTATTATTCATACAAACACGAGTAAATGCTTCAAAAATGATAGTAAAAGCAAAGGCTACTTTTTATTCATACGACCCATTATTAACCCCTTGACGACAGGAATTTCTTCCCGAAAGCCAACTCCAAGAATTCCAGCCTCGCTTGGCCACGAAGGCTACCTGCCAAACCGCAGATTCTCGGTTTGTGGCCCTGCGTGCTCTGCACGCTTTGAATTACATGGTGAAAAGGCTGATTGTTCGGTGGCATGCGGCTCTACTCAAGCTTCCACATTCCCGTTGCCTCTTTTCGAAGTGGGGACTATTGTGAAGCTGGTGATTATGATGCAAATTCGGTCTTTTCATTTCTGGGCTACGCACAAAGACAATTACCACATATACAAGAGCCAGGGTCTGCCTTCTTTCACTGTGTTCGCTTGAGCGTGGGCCGAGAATATTAGCTGAAAAGCGGGCTGAGGTTCTCAATTTTTACGGCGGCTCTATCTGCGTCCCGGCATGAAGGGGTTAAGAACAGTAAGTTTGGTCCAAAATTTCAGACTCCTGGAACTGTGCACGAAGAGTCCAGTAACTTATGGATCCAAGCAGGGGATTCAATATCTCCCCAATCTGACATCCCAAAAATAAAGATAAATGAAATACCAGTAATAACATTGAAAAAATGACACCCTGTAAGGGTTAAGTGTATTTGTTCCTCAGTAACAAGTTGGTACCAGTATGTGTCTGCTGCCCGAAACAATCAGATATAAAAGAAATCTGACTGGCCTGAATCCCCCCCCCTCCAAAAATTCCTGGATCCACCCCTAGAGTCCAAAACTCAAGGTAATGGGAACATTACAGTATATAGGCCTACACCTGGAAATAGTACGGTAGTAATTAGTTGGCGCCTGTCCAACACTCCTTCACTACAGCATACCTGTACATTTGTCAAAAGGAATCTAGTCTTGAACTCTTGATCTTCTACAAACTCACTAATCTATCAACAGTTACGCCACAGGACCACTGAATAGTGAATTTATGTATGCATTTGAAAAGTTGATCATGTACCATGGTACAAGGCTTCAGCATGTTCCGATTGACATCATTTGGCTTCGATCCGGGTGCACAGTAGTACCGAAGTGAAGACCCTAACGAAACCTGAACGATATGTAAGATTTTAAATTGGGCTGGGGAAATACATGTATGGGAAACCTTTACTCCTGGAACATCTTGAAAAATTTCATCAGCTGCAGAGTGAGTAACATTGGCAATGGCAGGATTTTGTTGTCAAGACATTTTTCTGCACGCATCAAAGTCTCTGTCAGGATTAATTTCCATACAGTGATAAACGGAACGGGCACGGATGTGGTCATCGGAGCAACTGTACTGTGCGATCAGTGATCACACTGTCAACTGTTGATGACATCTCCATCAGTCAATCGCATTTTTTGTTCTAGGCTGCGGAATATCGTTTTGGAAGGGCAGAGTAAACTCACAACAAAAATATTCTTCCCAGTGCAAGAATGGGATCACCCGCATCATACCAATATGTTTTGCATAACGGCTGAAAAACCTGAAAACATCCCGTCCATCTCCCCCCCCAAAGTAATCCCCGAGAAAGAATTGAATTGGAACATCACAACTTTTTGAGCACCACAGGCCTAGGTGTCATAAACATCAATATCCCTTCACTTTTTAAACCTGTTCGTCCTTACATAGTACCCGTTTAAACCCTTTTCCTCACCAAAAGCCTGTCTAGAGATTTAACCTAGCACTCCCTTTAATACTTTTGGGTACTTGTGACAATGATATTGCCATTCTTACAAACTTACCAACTACCGGTGCATGGATTTAGACCTGGAACATTCTATTTTTACACACCAGACCATACAAACCAGATGGCCATGCAACTGGCTGATACTGACACTGATAGACTGATGGTAGACCTAACAATAGTTGTACACCCAAAAAAATCATATAAACCAAAAAATCATATGTTCGGAAGTGGGGCCTAGGCCACATATTGTAGGCCTGTAGAACATTCAACCACTAGCACTGACTAGTGCAGCGAATTTGTGAAAACAGTGGGTATAACAAGTGGGTGTAACACTAACAGGCCTAGGGCCATGAGGGCCCAGGGGCCCTAGAGAAAAATCTGCAGAAATCTGAAAAATCGTTTTTTAAAGGCAGTGTTCTGTGACAATTTGTGGATTAAATATGCTCCAACGATTCAGCAGGCTATTTCCGACCCTCCCAAAACAAGGCCACTCAGTAGCAGCTAGTACGCATTCATACTCACACTTCCAGGATCCGGTCCCCTTTGCAGATGCCTGCTCTCTCTGCTGCCCCTCCCTCCAACACCGCGCTAACGTGTTGCAGCGGTGCGTACAGCTCCCCGTTGATGCTCTTGAGCTGCCCACCCTCGCTGACCTGCCCCCTCACGTTGAAGCCGAACCCCGTGTCGCTTTTGACGATGGTCACCACCCTGGGGCTCTTGGATTTCTCTTGGGCTGTGGAGGACCGCTCAGAGGCGGTCGAGCCTTCGTCGTCGTCCACGTCCGCCATGTTCACACATGTCAGGTCGTCCTGCTGCCTGAGCCGATATCGCAATTGCTAGGGATGGCTCGTATCACGGCTGTCTCGCGCCGCAGACCTCTCGCAGATTAGCTGTGGAACAACCAATGTGGAGTTGAGTTATTTGAGTAGCGAGTTTCTTGTGGAAGAATAAACATAGACTTTTAATTCCAAAAATGACACTCGTTATCCAGCAGAAACGCAACCAAGGGGAAAGATGTAAATCGTGACTTAAGGAGCAATTCCTCTATTTTGCGAAGTTGGGACGCACGAATATCATGTGACTTGTAAGATCAACTGGAGAGGGCGCCGTACTCAAACAAGGACATGCACATGCAGCACATGGTGACTGACTATCTCGAAACACGGACTGCCGTGGCGATCACTCGAACCGTACCAAACATGAGGAACAGGTAAGTTACAAACACTAACAGGTGTCAAACGAACATTAGACGAATCAGGAAGGGAACGAGCACCTTAATTTTGGTCTGAGCAGTGATATAATGATATGTTACGATATCTTGGTTAAATTGCCTCTTAAAGCTCGAGTCAAGATCCTGTTTCCTGTTTCATTAATAAAACTGTACGTGTTACTTCCTGATTTCGAACCGCAGGTTAAAACGCCCTGGATCGAAATTGTTATTTAAAATACGAGAAATTTGGGTCTATCCAGAGTAGATCAGGTATTACAACTATGCAGTAACATTTGCCAAAAACTTCAAAAAGTCATATGTATGCAGAAATTCTGTTGATTACATAGATCACATGCTTGCCTATAGAATAGTGTCTATTTGCATGGAATTGTTTAAAAGGTGACTTAGACTAGAGTGATACTGATATTACTCTTTACAGTGTATATTTTGCCGTCATCTGATGACACGTTATTTTTCTTTGAACGTTGAACTGAACAACTGATACGATATAATTAGCAAATTCACCCCCCTTGACCCGGTGATCACATAGCCTTTCGTCAAGGCCTTCATGGCTGTGTGTGTGTAACTGCAAAGTGACTGGACAGGTGACCAGTCACTTTTATGTAAATAGTTGAAGCAGATGAGTCTCTGAAAATAAATGGCATCCACTTCAAAGCTTATGCATTGTTTCCATCTGGTTTTTCATGAGGGCGATAAGTGGTGAGATGACAACTTTGATGCTTGTTGGTGGGGTTGGTGACGTTGGCGTAATGCTAGAAAGTAGCAGTTCACCAAGGCCGAATGGTCAAAACAAAATGGCCGTGCTTGAACTATGGAGCTCAGTCTTACCACATCCCGTAGGTAAAGACGAAATTGTCATGCCCGTGTACAGATGCTTCAATAGCCTAACGATGCAATGGTTTTAACTCGGGAAGGCGAATTTTCCAGCAGCATATTCTAAAGAACTGTCCAAATACTGCTTAGACAACTAACCTGCGCTCACGGCTGCCGACACACTTGACACGCTCGCTATCTTTCATATACTTTCAATTTGCATAATAGGTTTATGTATGCTAACCCCCTCGCAACCCCTTCGGGGTAGCAGAAATCGAAAACATAAAGAAAAAGATAGGAAATTCCTGACAAGTTGGAAAAGGCCTCGTGGCTGCGCCACTCGTGCATGTGGTCTCTGGCCCAGCCGCTTTGCAGTTACACATAAACACAGCCACGAAGGCCTTGACAAAAGGCTAGTTATCACATAGCCGAGTGTCTTGCAGCACTAGCTCTGGTCCCCATTAGGACACAAGGAATACAAACTCACATTTCCCAAAGATTTTAGACATAAAATTGCTTAGTCCCCCAAAACCTTGACTGCTTGTTTTTGTCACAAAGGCGTGTCAGGACCGGTTTATGGTCTAGAAACTACTGTTTATTTAAAATGTTTTCCAACCTTTTGCACATATTTTTGCCATCTTGTATTTTACTGAGTGATAAACAAATATGAGCACTGTACACACTAATGTCACTAAACCCTCCTTTGTGAATATGTTGATTTCCTGTCCAATTCAGGGTAAAAATAATGAGCAGATTAAAAATGTTTTAGACTTGTACAAATCATGCAAAATGCTAAATTCTGTGACCTACATGTACTTGTACATAAGAGCAAAATTTGACAGTCAACAAGTTGAACACGTTCTTGATGTACCAGTAATTTTTTTTTAATTTTCATATCTTTCTGGTTTAAACATTATTGAAATGTGAAGTGAACTCAGGAAAATCTCACTGTCTTTTTGGGGGTTCACAGACTTTGAGTTTAGAGCTTGGAAAAACTGTCTAAGTGTGAACACTTAAAAACCACACCATGTTGGAGATATTTACCGTCATAAAACCAGTTCAAATGAAGTTTTAGGTAAATATTGCCACCCATTAGATTTTTTTAAAAACTTCTGAAAGCTTTCTTTATCCAATAAAGTGAATTTTTTAGGCAAACTTCGTGCCAAATCTAAAGTGCTCCTGACTTGCTTCCGCTCACAAGCAATGAACAGAATTCAATTTTGCTTAATGTACCACTTCTGTCGGATACCTATAACACTGTCAAAGCACATCATGTAAATCTTTTGTAGCTCCAGAATAGTCAAAAATGATATTCTGCATATTGGCATATTTAATTCATGCTACGGTACATGTACAATATTTGTGGTGTTATAAGCCGTGAAATACCGTAAAAGAACTTCCAAATAAATTTTGTATTTTGTAGTACCCGTATGCGCATGCATGTTTGTTTTGTCCTCTTCTAAGTTTAGTGCTTTTTGCCAAATTATGGTACCCTCTAATCTCTTTAGATATGAAAGTTGGGAGTTCATAAAATATGAAGGAGAAATTTTCTGCCTCGCCGCCTGTTTGCAATTTCATTGATATTAACCTAAAAGTGCATGCAATTTTAACTGGCCAAGTTAGAGCTTGGGTGAAGATTTACGTATGCAGGGTTACTGCTGCCTAGAAAAGTCATGGAAATTTGTTTTGGTTTTCTAGGCCTGGAAAAGTCATGGAATTCGAAACCGTCCTTTAGGTGGAATGAACTCTATTTACAGGGACTGTTTCCAAGAAAAATGTGCATGTGTACATGTATTGTCCCCTTTTCTGCAATATTATGAAACAGTCTGACTTTTATTCTCGTTTATTTATTGCTGAGTATTACTATGCAGATTTCTGTGTCATGAATACTGTTATGTTTCATCCCTATACATACAGTACCTTACGTTTCTATTTAAACATTTGCTGCCATTGCATGCTATGTGTAATATAAAGGGAAACAAACTGTGCCACATTTAACCAGCTGGAACTGAACGATAGACACAAATAGCAGCTGAAACAAACGTTTTTACAATAGAGTACCGAAGTGTGACGTCACTTTTTGACTGGACAGTTCACCTGCATCAATATTGCACACAACATATCGGTACAGTGGCTGTTGTGAAGCAGTAGGTAGAGTACATTGAGTGAAACCAGATTGTCTCTGTTCCCTGAAAAGTGTTCACACCGAGTCTGTGATTGTGTGCATGAAAGATGATGTTCAAACTTTCCATAAGGCATTTGCTACTGGTACGGTTTTTAAAAAATTTCCTGAACCTTTGTGACCAGATCCCACGAAAATGAGTACTGATCATAGCTCATTTGGAAGCTTTCTGGCTCTTGCTTACATTAGAAAGAGCCACCTCAGGTCTTTGATGTGGATGCACCGGTATCGACCAGTTTGGCATTGCCGATGAGAAGTGGCGTTGTTTGGGTGACAAATTGAGGGGGTTCTTATTGAATTCCATTGTGCAAAGAGTCTGTGCGAGGTGGTCAGAGGAAAAGTGGCTCAGGTGACCTGCAATTTATTTTGCAAGGCTGGGTCACATTACCTTACATGTAAGTCAGTTTGTGTTCCGGATTAGAATGTGGGCCATAGCGGGGAGATTTTTTTACCTTGATGGAATCTTACATACATATATCTCCAGTAGGTTTACAAGCTACATGTACACTCAAGGATATTCTTTTGAGTAAATTAAGTACAGTGTATTTGTAACTTACACATGTACAGTACATATACGTACATTTGTGTGTGTTCTTTTCAAAAGTGAAAAGGACAAGCCACAAAATAAACCATTTTTTAAATCATTTGCAACCTATTCTGTCGTAATTTTGACACAATGAAAACTCCTTTAGACCCTAAGGTATTAGCAAAAGAATTGCATCAATCTATCTGCCCTCTTTGACTAATTTGCTTTTTAGAAAAAGGAACGGGGACCTCTTCTCGTCCCTCTCTTGAAGAAAACTTTGACGAGGAAAATTTTAAAATTTTGACTTGGCCATCACTGTACTTGTTCATGTTGTTTGTTGTTTTGGTATATTGCATTGTACATGTTGGTTGACACTGCCTATATTTATATCCAACCACAAACAAAATACAACTTATTTAGCATACATACAATAAAGGAAGTGGATATGATTATGCAAATGAAAAGCATAAGGAAAATTTAATGAAAAAATAAAGCCATAAAAAGCCTTTGCCAATGGCAGGTGCTGAAAGAATACTGTGAAACATTCAAACGTTATTAACTGAAACAAAATCTATAATAGAACAATTATGGGGACATTAAGACTCAGTCATAAAAAAATGCACTGGGAACCCTCGGTTTATGGAAAACAAAAAAAGTGAATGAGCCATATTATACATGTGAATAGAAAGTGCTTGTATAGTTGTGTAAGGAAAAATAGCTTACTACTAAATGCAATTATTTTTTTCTTTGGAGGTAGGGTTAACTAGCTGTGATAGTTATGGATCCTCTGTTCAGTGAAGCGTACCAGACGTTGATCATTGAACCGTTCTATGGTGGGTCACATCAGCAGCTGGTCGACCTGCTCATGGCCAACTTGCCTTACTCAGTCAAGCACACGCTGCCGGCCACTAAATGGCATTGGAAGGCCAGGACGTCCGCCCTGCACTTTGCCCAGGTCATTCCCAGGAGCGAACACTATAGGTGGGTGGAGTCCGTTTAAACCCCACCTTTCTATAGCCATCCTCTGGGACACCTTGTATTGTCCTCAATGATCTTCCTGTAACTTTTATCAATGGCTGTGATCAGTGCCTAATTTAACAACGTTCAGCAAGAAATGTACCACTCACTGAGGCCGAGTCTTTTGGAATAACTGAATATTGAAATATTTGACTTTGCAATCGACAAAATATTCAAATACTCAGTTGTACCAAATTCCTGCAAAAGCAGAAAAAATTGCATATTTTTACAGAAGGTAACAAAGAAAAACTTTGAAAATACTTTTTGGCCTTATTGTTGGTCATAGGCATTCAACTGAAATGTTTTTCTGGTTAATTTTTTCTCTTCAATTCACTGTGAGAGTTGGTTGCAATTGTACTGAATCATTCATACGTGCTTGTCCAGTGACTTTCAGCGTACACACTGATACCTGCAGGATGCAGTGATGTAGTCAAGTACTTTTTGAAAACCAAGTTCTCTACCAAATATTTAACTAGTTAGGAGGGAACAAAGCTGAAGTTCATCGGCATTTGATGGTACATGCCTAAAGATAAGATTACAAAGCAACATAATGACTTCAGACCATCACTGTTTGTTTAAAATTAACTTTTTAGGACAAAAGTACTCGGAAAGTACTCGGCCAGGTACTTTCTGAGTACTTTTCTCCTTAAAACTTAAATTTTACACAACTGGGAGTGTCTGAAGTCTAACATTTATTTTGTAATCTTACCTTTGCACATTTACCATCAAATGCCTGTGCACTCTGGCTTTATTCCCTCTTACCCAGTTCAGTATTTTGCAGAGAACGTTGGTACTCGGAAAATACTCGACTGCAACACTGGCAGGATGTAGTACTAATTCACATAATTGCAGACCCACGATATTGTAACCACAGTAACAGTGATTCAGCTTCATTTTCAGGTGATAACTGGTAGATTGCATAATCTCAGCGATCCTTGTGCATTGCCCCCTCCAGGGTCCTGTTTTCCAGCAGTGTCTTGAATCTGGCCGAGTTGGTAGCCATGAGAACAGACCTGGCCGGCCTACACAAAGTCTTGTACTTCCATGAGAACCAGCTTGTCTATCCGGTCCGGAAGCAGCAGGATCGAGACTTTCAGTATGGCTACAACCAGATCATCTCTTGGTGCGTTATGAAATTCAAATTCTCTGCCACATCAGCTGGCTATATTTTTTTCCTTCTCAGCCTAGTATTGAGCTGTAGTTGGGTACGAAATATTCGTCTTGATTGAAGAAACACGGTTTCCCGTTCTTTGTTCCCATAATTGGGAAACTCCAATAATGTGAATTTTTCAAACACATCTCAGTGTGGAGTGGCTTATTCAAGTTTGTTTGAAAACATGTGAAACTCTAACTATTCTTAGATGTAACATGCAGATGTATCCAAGTGGAGAATGGCTCAATTGGGATGGTTTAGAGTGTTAACCCTAACCCCCTAGGTCCTTTTTGCTAGGGACCCTCCTCAATCCTGCAATTTGGGGGTGAAAAAATTGGGTTCTCCCTCAATCCTCCGAAATCTTCCAAAATTTCTTGAAAATGTTCTTTGGAGGTGTGCCTACCGCCTCAATTCTTCAAAATCCTCCAGCAATTCCTGTCAGTGTGTTGAGGCACTCATGAGCAGTGCGGTTGATTCAAAAGAAATATGGATAGAATTTTGAAACTTTTGTTCAAAGGAACTTTGTTACTATGTTTTTGTGTAACTCATTTTGCAAGTTGTCCAGTTTCTTGGGCTGTCTGTGCTATTGGCTGTTGCCACTGCTTTCAGTCACTCATTGAAAGCCACAAGTACAGTACGTTGTGAGTATTGTTATTTAGTGTTGTCAAATCTACTAGATGAGCCACACAGCACCGCTGCACACTAATCTGGCCCCTATTGAAAAGAGGTCAGCAGTGCACTGAGCCAGGTTCGTGAACAAAAGACAGTTGTTTAACACCGCACAATCTGGGCTCTGTTCACAAGGCTGCAGGCCTGGCAAAAAAACTCGGGCGTCAATGAAAGTCACCTGTCAACTTAGAGTAGTGCCTAAAGATTACTTGGTGTGGCTGTAAACGACCGTTAAATGGAATGATGAATTTTTGAAGGATTTTGAAAACGGAGAAAATGATAGTCATGCTGGCCCAGCATCATCAACGTTGAAAAATGCCCCAGCACGAAGTGGTTAATGCACCGCTGTGTTGCAGCGGTAGGGCAATGGAAAAAATGGACAGGTTAGGGGATGGACATCAGGACTGGTTAATCTCTGTATTTCACATCCAAGATGACTTTGAAGGTTTTATGTTCTATTCTGTCCCCAGCCTCATTGCAGACACCATCCTCTTCAACTCTGCCTACAACATGGAGTCCTTCCTGACTAGCATCGACTCCTTCCTGAGCCTGATTCCGGTGTCGGGCTACAAGTCCAAGGGCATGCACAAGCCCATCCGGCCCAAGTGCAGGGTATTGTACTTCCCCTTGCAGCTGCCCGAGCTGGACACTGTATCCCCGGGGGAGCCCAGCGGATGCCAGCCGTTCCTGCCGGGCCAGAACATCAGACGCGTGCAAAGCGAAGATCCGGCTGAGGGAACCACAGGGAGCCTTCGAGATTCGGACCCCAGGTGCGCGCTGGCAGAGGACACTGATGGACACGAAGAAGATTGGTTGGACACTGCTGCACGACCGAAATTTGGGAACTTCCGCTACGCCAGACGAGTCTCGAGGGAGAACTTGGAGAATGACAAAAAGGGCAACTGCGTAGCGGATGCAGCCACGAGGAGAAAGCAAAAATCTTCAGCGAGTAGGAGCAGGGAGAAGGAGGATACCATGGCCCAGTCTCATGACCAGGCCCAGTCACATGATAAGGCCCCGTCACATGACAAGACCCAGTCACATGACACCAGTCACTTGGCAGCTGGGGAAAGGAGAGCCATGTGGCGATCAGGTTCCCAGAAACCACTCCATATACTCTGGGCTCATAGATGGTAACATGAAAATACTCAACACTCTTTGATCAAGTTTGGCCTCAACATTCTGTTCAGGATTGGTCACATACATATACTCTTAGTTGAAGGGATGTTTTAACACAGATACTAATTCTTGGTGTCTCTTCTCCATGAGACCTTTACACTCCTTGATACAGTTATTGGACAAGAAATCATTCTTGCATTTTTAAGTTTAATTGTGGTCAGTTTTATGAATACCCTGTTTGTGGGAAAGGCATTTATGTGCATGTGCAACTTAACGCGTGTGGTACTAACCACACTAATGGCTGCAAATTCTGATCACTGGATCAGTCCTTAGACCTTTTCCATATGCAGCAGCCGTCTTAATAATGGCTTTTGTCATTGAGTTAAGTTACAGTTAACAAACAAGAGTTACATGCAAATATTTTGGGGAGCAAAAGAACATGCTTCAAAGTACCTGTAAAAATATGATTTTATCCACATTTTTGTAATTGTCCCCCCCCACCTAAAAAGAATCAAATCTATTTGAGTTAAACATATACCAAATCATTGCACCTTGAAGTATTTGCCAGTATGAATACAGTTACAAATTGTGGACATGTGACAATAAGATCTTGTCTTCCTATATGGATCAAAGTGCATTAAAGTCATTTTAGTGCTTTTTGTTCCAAAAGAACTATATTATTATTCATTCAGAAGTTCTGAAAATGCTTTATTGCCTTTTCTGCTCCCAGGGAGCATGACAAGAACCCAGATCTGTTCCTCCACACCTTGATGAAGTTACACGACGCAGGCCTGGAGTTCCGAGTCTCAGTATTAGGGGAGCACTTCAACGAAGTACCAGGTAGCTTCAAATTAAAGTCATAACCACCCCTCCCCCGAAATCCTGTATTGCTTTAAAAGTACCCAAACAGCTAATGCCTTCAGGCATGATCTACCTTGAATGTAATTTTGGTTTCTTCTCTACCAACTACCAAAAGATTTTTTTCCTGACTACTCCAACTGTTGGAACATTTCAAACTGTTGGGGTTATGAATCAGATCTGTTGTGTCAAATCTCAGTCATTCACTGCTTGTCCGATTTATATCCTAACAGAATGGGCTGTCACTGCACATCATGTTGATAAATAATGGGCATTTCACCTACTTGCATGTTACCTGTACATAAAGGCAGGTTCATACTTGGTGTGGCAGCGAATGCGGATGCAAATTTGTGACGTCAGATCAAATATTCACATTGCAAATTGGTAAAAGTTGAACACGTTTCAACTGGAGTGGAATTTTGTAGCAAATCTTTTGTGACATCAAATTCGCTTCACTGTCGTGTTTGCCTGAAGTACCAACCGACCTTACTGCTTTTCAGACATTGGTAAACTGACTCCTAAACCAAGGTCACTGAAGGGTTAAAAATGTAAGTTTCAACTGTTACTTGGAAGTTATAATGGACCATAGGAGATAAACTCACAAAGGGAACAAAACACTTTCTTGGGTGGTTAGTCGTTTGGTCAGTTCTGCCCATGAAAAAGAGCCAGAAGGAAACGAAACAATGCCTCGTCCACTAGGTTCCAGGATATTTGACCACATGTATGTGTTTAATGTAAATCTCTCCCCTTTACAACACAGAAATATCCTTATTTGAGAGTTTTTCGTTTTTCCTCGCCTTATAGAAATTTTTGCTGAAGCCAAAGCCAAGTTGCAGGACCGGATTGTCGATTGGGGTTACCAGTCCAGCAAGGAGGACTACTACCGTGTGCTATTTGCTGCTGATGTGGCTGTGTCTACGGCTGATCATGAGTTCTTTGGAGTTGCAATGTGAGCGATTGACTTAGAATACAAATTTATAGCTCCCTCTCTTCCAAGACCTTAGCCGATGCATGTGTTCACGGATTTATTGCATTATTTGAGGAAGTACTGTAGTTTTCTGGGAAGAGAGTAAATATCTCAAAAATGTGTATTTTATTTTTTTATTTTTATTGAAATAATATTTTATATGCTGAGATTCCTTGCTTGACATTTTGTCAATATAAAAACTTTTGGGTGTCAAGATTTCTTTTATTTTTAATTTGCAGGTTAGAAGCAGTGCATTTGAGGTGCTATCCGCTCTGCCCTAATTGCCTGGTATACCCTGAAATATTCCCCAGTAAGAAAGTCATCTTTCCTTACCTAAGTTTGACCACGTTTGACAGATAGCAATGGGAATAATACAGGAGAGTGTTTCGAATGCCTGTATACCCAATTTGTTGGGAAGAAAGAACAGTGACAGTACAGAATCAGAGATTAGGGACAGAACAGGACAAAGGAGTGCAGATTAGAGGGTTTCAAGGAGGCATGGTATTGACTGGAGGAAAGTTGGGGGAAACAGGACAGAATAAAGACATGACTGGACAGACTAAAAGTAGACAAGAGTGGGCAGATATTGACAGTAAGGGAACACAGTACAGTAGTACAAGACAGGATGGAATGTGGCTGTACAGGTTGTGACAAGACACGACCATGGGATTAAACACAACATTGAAGAGGTATGACACAGCAGGGCATGACAGGACAGAATGTGACAAGAGATGACAGTGCTGTTCAAGAAGCAGTGTGCACAATGCTGACATAACCGCCAAGAACAAAGTAAGACAGGACACTTACAGTATTTCATGACAGGGCTGGACTTTGCCACTCATAAAACAAGAGATGACACAGTAGAAAAAAATGAGGGATAACATGAAGTATTCATGATGAACATCTCGAAAGATACACACCTTGTTTTGTCCGAATGATGAAACGAACATGTACTTTTTTTCACAGGGTTTCTCTTTTTCATTTTGGTCATTTGTTGTCCACAGAGCAGTACTTGTACAACACTTCCCAGCAGCTGTTTAAGAGATTGCGAGAGTTTTGTAGGCACCCACAGCTTGTCCGAAAACACGATCTCCAGGTTTGTGGAGCACATCGCACCAGGCATTTTATCCAAACGATTGCTCAATGCTGATTTCGTTTGCTGAGGGACACCAAGCAGGCTATCATGCAGGATTTAAGCTGCCATTTATTTCCAGATGCCCTGTATGTGACCGTTTACCACAACAGGTCTCTGTTTGCATTGGGCTGACTGTTTGCTGTGCAGTTTATGCAAGTGGCATAAGACCGTGGACTTATTGTTCTGGTTCATTTGTTGTAATTGTATCTCATGTGAAGCCCATGAGTGGCTGTCTTGGGAAAACCACTTTTTTTACCACCATATCCTCCAATCTGAGAAAGGCCCTTCAAAACCCATGGCATTACTGTTCCAGAGTGGAACAGAAGCACTCTTAACTTTTCTACTGAAGTCAGTCATATGTTTCTAATTTTAATCCAGATCTAGAATTTTCCTGAGCAGTGATCTTTTTTTTTTATTTTGAAGTTTTGGCATCACCAGAAGTAACTCAACATAATTTTGTGTCTGTCATGCAGGTTGACGTCAGACAGTATTCCTGGGAGGTCTTGAAACACGACTACCTAGAGATCTTGTCCTCTTCCTCTGCCACCGTTACTATGAAGACATTTCCTCGCTCATCATTTGAATATGAAAAGGAAAGCAACCAGTCAGTTACCCAGCAGAATAAAATGATCTTCCAGGCTGCCGGCCGAAGGGAAATTGCACAGCCATCAGCCACTCGCGATAGCAAGGCACTCACCCGGTCAGCCAGCCAAGAAGACAGAGCAGTCCCCCAGTCTACAATTCAAAGGAGCAAGGCACTTGCCCAGTTAGCTGCTCATCAGAACAAGACACCAGCCATTGAACAGCCAAAGCCAGTGTCCCTGTCGACTACTCAACAAGCAAAAGCTATAGCCTTGTCAGCCACCGAAAAGTACAAACAATTACATAATCACCCACCCAGTAATACCAAGCACTAACGTAGCCAATCAACCAACTGTCAAAGTGTCAAAAGTCACATTCAAGTTCAACAATGGTCATATCCCAGTCAACCCTCCCACAAAGGCCATGTATTCCAGTCAACTTACAGTTAAAGGCTGTTAAATTAACACTTAAACTATATTTGTTTGTGTCAGCCACTCAACACTTGAAAGCCATGTCCTTGTCAAACACCCAACGGTTAAAGGCCATATCATTGTCAACCAAATCCTAAAGGCCATACCCTTGTCAAACACCCAACAGTTAAGGCCATATCCTTGCAAACACCCAACAGTGAAAGGCCATATCCTTTTCAAAAACCTTACAGTCTAAGGTCATAACCTAGTCACCTGCCCAGCTGTCAAAAGTTGAGTCAGCCAACAAAAATCGAAGGCCATATCCCAGTCATCAACCAAGAGCAGTCATTTCTCAGTCAACCATCAACAGTCAAAGGCCATATACTAGTTGAGTAGACAAAAATTAGAGCCCAGTTGACTACCTGTCAAAGGCCAGTTTAATCCCAGACAACCACTTACTAGTCTGAGGCCATATCCCAGTAATTCGCAGTTCACCTAATTATTAAATGTATTATCCCAGTAATTTACTGTTATCCAACCACCAAAGACCATGTCCCAGTTAACTACCTCGTAGACCATGTAAACCACTAAACCGTCAAACAAGACAAATATCTCAGCTAACCACCCACTGATGTCAAAGGCCAAATCCCAGTCTAGGATCAAATTTGTAAGGGTCAATACCCCTTTTTGAGCACCCAATTTCAGTCAACCTAAAGCGCAAGAATTTCCCCAACCATGCATCCAGTGATGCCAAGCACTCATCTCTATGGGCAACCTACATTGAAGGCCATTTTCCGCCCAGCCATCCAACTGGATGATGGCCAGAACTAGGAGGGGTAACATTAGCGGACGTATTTGTTAACAGAACAGCTTCTCCCGTGCCTGTGACTATTTTTTTAATGCAGTAAACAAGCAACAGGGTCAACTAGTTTGTTAAAAAAAAACACTGTAAAACCTTTTTATTTAATGTAAGCATTCTTTGATTAATAAAGTGCCTGTATTTTAATTTATGCATTTTTGAATAACTTGTATTTTTCAATTTTTTCCAATGCAGTATTATGCCAACTTGCAAATATTTTGCAGAACTAACTAAATTAAGAACTATCAGGACATACTGAATGGACGTAGATATTTTCATGCAATCGCTTGCCATATGAATTTTGTAAAATCTTTTACTATTTTGTATCTGAAAGTTGCAAATTGCGGCTTGAAATGATACACTCTGACGGCATCATCTACGTGTAAATAACTGTACCCGTTTTACATTTCAGCGATGTACACCTTGAAAATGACTTTGAAATCTCGTATTTGTTCACCAGTAACCTTGTGTGGTCACTATATAGAGGCTCGTTTGCAATTTTTTCCAGCTTGATGCATTCACAGTGCACTGTTTTTCCTTGTAAATCTATAAAAGTGCGGAGCGAGGATTAAAAGTAGACATTTTGTGGAGGCGGACAGTTTTGTTAACAGTAATACAATACTTTTTTCTTTGACCCACATTTTAAAGCCTTTTCTTTTTTTGGATGAGAATCCAAGTGGATTTATTTTGCAGTTGTGATTAGGTTTTATTTCGGGGAGGAAGGAAATCTCCCCTCTTCGTTGGGTCATTATGTTGGACTTAGTTTTTGTGCATAATGCTTGTGTGTGCTAATGTACGAAGATTGGAGGAAAAGCTATATGTGGGTGGAGCTGACGAAAATAGAAAGGGTGGACTGCAGTACGAAGGAAGAGTTGGATAGCTAGTGTAATTATGGAATGTTTCTCGAATGCTTTGATTTTAATAAGCTATACCAAACGTTGAGCTTTCTCCTAAGTCATTTTGTTTATAATTACGCATAAAATAGAAACTAACTCGTGTTGCCTTTTAACAGTGAGCAATTTTTGTTCCGCACAAATCAAAGATATGTTTTCAGGTGTGCTTTTCTGATTTTCAGTACTACATAATTTGCATGAGTCATTCTATACAGTCGAAGTAATCACTTTTGTTAAAAAATAAAATATGCATTGACTTTCTAACGATTTTTCTGTGATTTTTTAATGATTGGCTGTTGGTTGGTTGTTGACGTAATTTAGAGCCTCGTGCTAGAGCTAGCGATGTCGAGCGTGTGATTCAGACGGAGGCCCGGGGCGAATTTGAGCATTGCAGCAACCCGAGGACAGCTCTTGCCCACATTCGTTTCTGATCACTGGCGTTAGGGTTTTTAGGGGGGGTTCAAGCAGCGCATGCGCTGGTTTTTTTTTAAATTTTAATTTGTTTTATTAATAAGTTATTTTATTCATTATTTATTTTATTTATTATCCACTTAAAAATGTTGGGGGGGGTTCACTCTTGTAGTGAACTGAAGCAAGACATAGGTCTGCGTGCTTGAAGAAGCCTAAAAATAGAAGACGAAGGAGACATTTTCAGTTTCAGAGGTGAAAAGAAAACGTCCAAACGACACTCTGGGGGAATGCACGGAATCAGGCCAGAGAACCCTATCCACGGTCTACATGCCGCCTTGAGAAGAAAACCACGATTACAACTCCCGCCCGCCCACAATTTTCCAGAGAGGAAAAAACACCCGTGGGCGACATTCTGACATCGCTCACGTTGCACCTGCTGCTAGAAGAGTGCCTCCTCTTTTAACACTGCCGACGTGAACTTATAAATGAAGTGACACTGCAGACAGGTAAATTTCCCTAGACTTTCATGCAGTTAACATTGGGCTATCTCAAAAATTTACAATTAATGCGTACCATATCATAGATACCAAAAAGTTTCACGTGCAGTGAATATGTTTAGTGTGAGCGCTTATTTAGATTTAACAAAAATGACAGCAGTTTAATGTAACAGCTGATTCTGAAAGCCCCAAAGCTAGGGAAAAAAACACCCGGTATGGGACTTTAACCCATGACCCTCAGATTAAAGGTCTGATATCTTATCCCCTACTGAGCTAACCGGGCTACCAATTTTCTGTCCACTTTCGATAAAGCCCCGCATTAGAAGCATATCGATTATTGAAGACCAATGCAAAAGAGAGAAGCAATACCCTTCAATGATCAAAACGAGGAACATGTACCCCAGATATTCACTAAAATAAATTTAAAAGCAGTTGGAATGTTGCAAAGGCGAGCAAATAAGCAAAGTTTAACCGTCAGCCAGTGATTAACATAACAATTGGAGCCAGTGTTCCTGCCCTTCTGCTCTCTCCCTACGTGTCAATTTTCAAACACTGAAGACTTGGATGATCGATTGTCGAGTGAGCTCCTTATGGACGGAGTGGGCTAGTAGATTAGTATACTGGAAAGCGATTATCGTCATCAACACCACGAAGTAGTTTATAGATGTGTGCGCCGCTTCAGTGCGTATTTTACAGATATGTGTCATTTTTACGAAGTAGCATGCACTTTGAGCCGTGCGGCACGTGCTCCGTAAATTGTCGTTTTGAGGAATTGACCTTTTCCTCTATTTAAACAGTTTAAACGAGTTTTAAGATCATCTTCCAGTGAAGTCACATATTTACGGGTGAATCAAATCATTTTAGACCTTTCAAAACGTTTCTATCCATGCTATATTGACAAAACACACGAGTGCTACTTCGTGAAAACGAAAATCGTTCGATTATATATCAGTGTACCGATGTGCGCACTCACACTTGAGTGCTACAGCGTGGTGTTGGTGACGATATATATATTTTGCACAACACGCTTGAGAAATTATTTCAAAGATTGATTTGCGCTAGGGAGATGTAAACTCGACTGGAGGAACTCGACTTGAATTAAGGCCATATTTGTGGCTATGGATGATTTCTTTTAAGGAAAGCCCAAAATTTCAATAGGCCTAGAGAAGTTTCAAAGAGGCGGGAAGACTAGACTAGTGTCCTCCCAAGACTGGCAATAAAACTATTTTCTCCTGAGAAAGTACATGGTATATCCCCAGGCAGCTGTGTAGTAACAAAAAACACGTTTATATTCAGGAAACAGCAGTGCCCCCAGAAATTATGAGATTGAAGGCTAATGGACTTGAGGCCTCTTCCAAATGCTCTGTTGCGGTTCTTGAAACACCGCGTGGTAACCACGGTTATATGCGTACGAAAGCCCAATCGTGCCTCTGAAGTATCAGTTTTAAGCCACACTAATTCGTTTTAACGAAATAGTGTCAGGCTGAAAATTGGTCCTTTATTGGCGCGATTGGGATTCGTAACCTTATACGCAAACAATTTTTCCATGCGAGTGGGGACGTGGGGTTTTGGATTCATATGGCATGTTAACAGTACAGGGCCGTACAAAATCAATGTTATGCACTGATTGCTTTTGGGAAATTAGGAAAGGAAACTAATAATCGGGACTTATCCGCCCCTCAAGGGAACTGTTCATTGAAATAGTAAAGAGGAATCCTTGACGTATAGACCTTGTATAAGTCAGACTTTGCTTTGATAGGAAAACAAACAAAATCCCAGTATTTGTAAATTGGCAATAAAACAAAGTTTTTCATTTGAAATGAAAGTGGTCGACTTGAATGGTTTCTCTTTTTTTTCACTTGATCAATAATTTGGAAACCTATACTTTTTATTGAAATATTTTGAATGACTTCTAAACCACAATATATTGACACTCGCGTGACATTTCTTTAAAAAAAATGGATCGCCCAGTATGGGACTTGAACCCATGACCCTCAGATTAAAAGTCTGATGCTCTACCGACTGAGCTAACCGGGCTCTCTGAGGTTTCCTGCGGGCACAAAATTGTTACGTCGATCAGCCGATAACAAAATAGGCCTATATTCGAAGAGGGGTTGCTCCTTGACAATGAATAAGCTATACCTGACCTAAAAAGATAGAGGAGTGACTTTTATACTGTTTTGAATGTCGTTTTATAACATAATTTATGTTGTTTTATAACATTTCTATGCCTGTAAGAGAAATTCTCAGTATTACCAAGGAGGACGTGACAATGGCCCATCACCTCTTGGGTCTAATCTTAGGCTAAAACTTTACACGATTGGCTAAAAAGTCTCACACCATCTGTTTTTGGGGCCGAGGAAAGTTTGTTCATGTTATGTTTCTTTTTCTGTCCTGTTTTTCTTTTTAATGACTTTCCGATCTATGGATTAGCAGAAACGGAAAAGACTGATCTCTCAGTTTTGAGACTTTCAAGAATAGGCTGTTGTCAACGTGGTGAACGAGATAACTCGGATGGATGTGTTAAGCAAATGCAGGACAACAAGATAATTTGATGAGATAAATCGTGTACATACAATATCTTGGGGCACATTCCTAAACAGAAAGTGTTCCTCAGCCATTTTATGTGCTTTGTAAAAGTCAGCAAGAAATCTGCGAATAGCGGTAGGCCTAGGCCTATGCATCGTATATAGTACCGTTTGGCCATAATTCCCGTTTTGTCGAAAATGTTTTGTGCGCAGGCGTTCAACAGTTGGTACCATTATTCGAAGCCAAACAATAAGATAAATGCACTGCAAGCTCAGATATCACGTGTCCTAACCTACTCTGGGAAGAGACGTTGCTGGGTATGCATTACATTTCAGCACTTTCTTGGTCCCACGAAAAACGAGGCTGACAACATACTGTGCATGCCCCGTGCCCGTTCTTGAATGATGTGAAACTTGACATGACCCAACTTCACAAGCCCGCACAAAACAAAATAAAAAAGAAGACGCTCCTTCGAGCCGGATTCGAACCAGCGACCTATGGATTTTTGCCGGTAACGTACCGTGCTTTTAATCGTACCAAGACCTGCCTACAGTCCACCGCTCTTCCAACTGAGCTATCGAAGGACACACCGTTGATTGGCGTTTTTGGCAGAGTGAAAACCACCACCGTCTTTTCACGAAAACGTTTTGGTCCGCTCTGGATCCGTATTCGTTGAACGCGTTCAGTTTCATTCCTTCAGAGAAACAATCTCTGCAAGTTTGTATACCACACAGTGTGACGCAAAGCGCACCCAAAACACGTGTTATAAGTATTGCTGGGTCACAAACGGAACTATATAAAGTTAATGGAAGTGTGTATGCCTACCCTGTTTCATAGCAAGTTAAGCCAGGGAAGGTACGTATACAAGAAGTGTTTAATACTGGCCCAATGCCGAAAATGCCCATTCGGCTCAGGTATTTTTGGCGTCCATTCTCCTGATCCAAACGTTTAAGACCGGCCAGGCACCTATTTATTTCCTCAGTAAGCACACTACTCAAAAACGTCAAGGACCCCTTTTTATTTCGTGTATACTTTTTATATGAGATGTTTTACTGCTGAATGTCTCTTGCAACATTGCACATTTTCAAATTTTTGATTCCAATGAGAACACCATTTAGACAAAAAAAAAAAGAAAGAAAAGAAAGCTCATTGCTTAGAAAAAAAAACAAGATAAAAAAAGTGGCCCTTGACGTGACGTTTGTTGAGTAGTGTAATTCTCACCGTAAAAACGTTGAACCAGTAAAGCCCACCAGCTCTGCTATAAACGTCTTTCCAACCGGTACCGCGCATGCCCGTTCTTGTCTCCTCATGTATTCATTTAATATCATTCCTCCAAATAAATAAATAAATAAATACCCAAAATTAATTGATACCTTTCCATACCAGCAATTATTAAACACTGGCAAATGGGGCGGGGGGTACTTCCAAGGAGGAATTGTCGTCGTGTAGCAATTTGAAGGGGGATTATTTCTTTTTTCCCTCCTTCAAAAAGCGTGCAAAACGCCCCGAAATTTAGACTCAACCCTCTGAAGGCAATAAAAGATTACCGGAAGAAATTCCCAATTCACCACCCAGAATTGCCCCCCTCCCCCTGTCCCTCACATGGTTCTGGATCCACCCTTTCCTCTGGATGGTTTCCGTCATTTTGACACCACCGTTTAGAAGCGAACTGAGAGGCACCGTGAAAATAATAGACAATACCCCTTCTTCATCGACGCAGGCGTCTGCAAACAAGCTCCTGCTTGATATCAAGATGGTTAACATAGCAAAAGTCGGCTTAAGGTTTGGCTCAAGGGGCGGGGAAATAACTGTCAAGGAGGTTTTTGAACAGGACTGCCGTTTTTTGTTGTTTTGCTTTAATTTCTAATTTTTGATGGCTGAAGGGGTGGAAACAACCCAAACCAATGTCCTACACTCACCGGTGCATTGTTTTTGTTAGCCTATACACTATTTCAACTTTGCGGAATGCGATTGTGCGATTTTTACTCTGAGTTATTAAACAGCATGAGAACGCACACCTGTCTAAATAAGGGTCGTGACGGAAATAGAATCTGTAAAGTACCATTTTTCATCTTGTATCAAAAAGGAGATGTACGCCTCTGCTGGATCACAAAGATGGATCACACACACTCACATCACGGTGCCGTTGTTACAAATACATGTATAAGAAATCAGTTTGAAAGATTTTGCTGGAGAACACCATCTTTTGGGTCCTGTTTAATTGGCAGCCCGATCTCGCGGTAAGCAAGGTGATTAATGTTGCCTGGCTTCTCTGTTAATCATAACTTCTCGCCTTGCCGCTGTTACGCAGGACATTTGCGCAAACAAGCCTGGGCAAACCTCAGGCCGCTCGTTCCTGGATTCTAAGTACATGTACGTTAATACGGTCCAATCTGTACGGAAACATTTACCACCACATGCATAAAATTATTTCCGTACGTATGTGAATAAGTACGTGAAACTGTCACATACGAGTAGAAGTGAAAAAATATGGTTCTGTTGTCCGAATGTAAAGCACTTGTCAAAAAGCAGCACTCCTTCGAGCCGGAATTGAACCGGCGACCTATGGATGCATGCTTGCACTTGACTACAGTCCACCGCTCTACCAACTGAGCTATCGAAGGATGTACGTTTTGAACTGGACCTTATATTTGCTAGTATTATAATTTTAGTTCATGTAAAGGTACAAGTTTTCGATTAGGAAACAAGAAAAGAACTAAAGTTTACAAAAGTGCTGGATAATATGGTAGGCCTGCATGAAGTTAATTTCATGTTCTGACAGAAAATTATGTTTGATTTAACCTACCAGAGCCGGGTTATTTTGGCCCATCTCATAGCCGGGGTGGAATTCTGCCCCCCCCCCAACTCGGCTGTGCCGCAATTGAGTATTTTAATGCTTAGCATGCAAGTATGTGAAAAAAATCCCTATCATTACAAATCGGACGTTTGAACTCAATCAAACGTATGTTTTTTCGTCTTGTGGCCATTTGAAGCTACAGGCTACATGCGCGGTAGCCCGCTTACATTGAGAACCGAAATAGAAAAATATACCCAAAATATAGCCAATATAATTTTGGCTGACCTTTCTCTGAAAAATTCACTCTACGCAAGACCATTGTATTCGATTTCCTCAAAATTGGTGTCAAAATGACCGAAACGAGTTACTCTAAAAACTTCGAAAGGCTCAGCTTCTGAAAAAATGCACTGCGGCGATATCGAATGAAATATCGATGGGGATGAGGCGGCGGCTTCCATCCAAGCTCTGTAAGGCCGATACAGAATATGGGCCTTGAGAACAGGGAAAGGTTAATTCATTTGAGCCAGAGACGAACCAGATACCTATAAGCAAGAAAACGCAAGCTTCGTCCACTGTTCGTGTAGTTTTGAACAAGCGAGCAAAAATTAAGCGCGGTGGTATCGGATAAGCCCGTTTTTATACGGCTGCTCATCAGTGCTATTTATAACAACGCTATGAAATGTTTGCCCGTGAAAACAAATTGGACAGAGATCACTTTGAGCCATGTTCAAATCAAGCTTTCACCATTATTGCACCCAATGTACAAACCTTTTTGTCAAAACAAGAAAATAAAAAAAAAACTTCGCTACAAGCCGGATTTGAAAACGATGGCGCTTGACATCACGCGTTATGACTGAAGTCCATCGCTTACAACTAAGGATGTTTGTGTTGTTGATGTACCCTAACGTAGCGCACTTTCACTTTCCGACTATTGTGTCTTAACAGAGCAATATTTTTTTGCTCAGATTTTTTTCCGATATGCGAAATGAACTCTTCAAAAATGTGCCCAAATAGGGAAAAAAATTCCCACAAACATGTGGATGGTTTTCGGAGTGGCAGTAATGGTGATTTACAAGGATTTATCAACTTCAAAGGATTTTGTAAATGTTTATGTGGGATTTTCTGAGATTTTTTTCAAGTGCGCCACGTTAGGGAACACTCATCTTAATTTGAGCCCAATGTCCGGACGCCGAAACTTTGGATTTCGAAGGAAATTTCATGACCCTGAAATTATTCACAAAGGTTCAACACCGTGTATCATGAAAGTAATAGTGCAAGTTTTTAGCCAAAGGAGTTCTACGTTTTTCAAGAAAGAGGCTTGGTAACGTTGTGTGAAGAAAGTCAAGTGAACGTCGAAGCTCGCCACGTTTGTGGACTATACTGTGCTCGCCCCAATACCTGTTTACAAAATAATTACAATGCATTCAAACGTGCAGAATGTTTCACTTGGAAAAAAATCACAATAAAATCATAACAAATCACGACAAAAAGCCTGGCGTTATCAGAGGACCAATCCAATACATTCCACCTGTGTTAAAATTTTTGGTGTTATTTCAAAGCTGTTGGTGTTACTTTTAACACCCTCCAGTGCATTTTAACTCTTGTATGTGTATAAAGTAACACCAGCGGTGATGAAGTAATACATTTTGGTCTTTTCATCTGATAACACCAAAAGTTTGCTTTTAATCCCGAAATTGTTGCAATGTTACAC